TTTTGTTGAGGTCCAGGTGACGTCGGGACTCACGCTCGGCAATTAGTGCAACCGTGTTGTCGTTAAGGGGCAAAATATCCGAGAGCATCTCCTGTTCAAGGGGGTGGAAGTAGTCTTGGGGGTGATGGGCGAGGATGGGGGTTGTGGGAGGGGGAAATCGGAGGCGGGGGCCAGAACGCGTCAAGGAAGGGTGCATGCCGTCCAACACCGCAAAAGAAAATCAATCCCACCACCATCATCGCATCACGCTTCATGAGAACCCGCCGTTGGTAACCGCAACCTTGCTGGTTGGGAAGCATCGCGACAACAGAGCGGTTGACACCCACGACAGCACCAACTCCGCCACCCACGAGAACACAGCGATGCTTCGGCTATCAAGGCCCGGGATAAGCGGTTTGAACGCCTTGTGGTCAAGCCGCACACACGAGTGAAAACACCCTCCTTCCAAGGCCACGCCCTGTGACGTTACGCCCAGCCCGATCCTAAAGCCTGCCTAGTCCCGTACCGTACCACGTCTCGAGTTCTCACCGCCCACGGATCCAAATGACACACCACATGCACCAGTCGATGTGGCAAACGGCGGAAACTTCCACGTCAGCTCCAACTTGCTCGATTGCCAACCTCTTTCCCACCGACCATAATTTCCCCACCAACCATCTTTCCTCTTCGTGCCTCTGGTTCTCATCCGAATCGCCCGCCCCGTTTCCCACCAACCATGATTCCTTTCCTGCCTCTGATCCTCATCCGAATCGACCGTCCCCTTTCCCCTGTTTCTCTCTCTCGCTTGCACCCTCGCCCGTCCCCTATCCCTTGTGCCCCTCTCTATTTTCACCCTCACCGCTCTCGGTCCTGATCTTCCTTGACCCGCCCGTCTTTCTCTCGCTGAGCTCTGCCAGGGTGGTCTTGACAAACTTCTTCTTCCGGGAGTCCCAGTGCAGCAGCCGCTGCTTCTTGGCCATGTCCACGGCCTCGTCGGGATTCACGTCCAGAATAGCCTCCTGCTCTCGTAATACAACACACAACACACAACACACACACGAAAAACGAAATAAAACAAGTCAAGCATCGCCTCCTGCTGTCATACAACACACACAAGAAATATAAAGGCAAAAAAAAAATACGTCAAGAATCGCCTCCTTCTGGCGTACAACATCCACAAAAGAAAAAAACACGTCAAGAACAGCCTCCACTCCGTTCGTACAACGCAACACATTGAAAAATAGAAACAAAATGCACCGCTGAGCGCGGGAATGGGCAGCAGGGTCCAGTCTCCGGGACCTAGATTTCCTGCAAAGGAGAAGTGCATTTTGTGTGTGTGTTGTGCAGGGTTGCAACCGCTCACCTCCAGACGACCGGCGGCGAAGCCATCCCCCGATTTTTCTACCGATCTCGGCTGCAGGGCCGCCTCCACGAACGAAGATGCCTCCCTGAATTCAACAAAAAAAACAACAATCGTGTAGCAAAAATTTCAGGGTTTGTGTGGAGACCGCCTTCCTTCATAAAGGTGTACTAAACATCTCCAATGTGGAGAACACCTTCCTTCATAAAGGTACCATCTCCAATGTGGAGAACGCCTTCCTTCATAAAGGTACCATCTCCAATGTGGAGAACACCTTCCTTCATAAAGGTACCATCTCCAATGTGGAGAACGCCTTCCTTCATAAAGGTGTACTAAACATCTCCCCAACGTCCGTGGAGGACGATTCCCTCTTCTTCACCATGGCGTCGACGCATCTAGTTGAGAGTGTCACGTTTGTTCGGCTTAGCGTGCATACACTGCTGTGCCACCTCAGGAGTGTCGAGTACCACACACGACACTTCTCTCTGTAGGGACCCAAGAGAGAGTTTGCAACCAAAACGTCTGCAGCCCGTTTTCCTGCGAGGAGAACATCGAACGTCGAACATCGACAGCTCAATCGACGCACCGAAAGATATGTAGACCTGCACGCACCAATCACCGTAACACAACAGCAACAACAACAACAGTAGCAACAGTACCTAAACCAACAACACCAATACCAACAATAACAACACAAACAACAGCAACAACAACAACAAAAACAGCAACAGCAACAGCAACAGCAACAGCAACAGCAACAACAGCAACAGCACCTACACCAACAACACCAACAACACCAACACCAACAACACAAACAACAACCCTCTCGCCCCACTCACGTCGTGCCGTATCCGATGTAAAACGCCTTGTCGGCGAACCTCCCGGGGCCCCCGTTCCCCATCGCCCCGACACCACCACCACCACCGCCGCCCCCGCCGCCGCCCGCCGCCGTCTCCTCCTCCTCTTTCTCCAACTCATCCTCCAGCCCCGCCAACGAATCTCCCCCGCCATTCCGCCCCCCACCGTCGCCCCCCTTGGCCTTCTTGAGCCTCTTGCGCTCGAAGCGAGACAGCTTCTTCCGCTTCACGCCGGTCGCCGCCGGCACCGCCCCCTCGCTACTGCTCCCGCCGTTTCGTACCCCTGAAACGCCGCTTAAATCCGCCGCCGCCGCTGCAGCAGCAGCAGCAGCAGCAGTGCCGGACGCAACCGAAGAAGGGGGAACTTCGACGTGGTCACCGCCCCCACCTTCCACTTCCATCGCCTCGACCGCGTCACCGCCGTCCCCCTCCGCCGCCGCCGCCGCCACCGATGCTTCTGATTCGTTGGCGGCGGTCTCGTTGCGTGTGAGCAGCCTGTGGACGCGGGCCCTCTTGCGGACGGCGCCCATGACCTGGTCCATGTCCCCCTTGGCCTCCGTGCCGCCGCCGCCGAGGAGCTCGAAGATCGTCTCCTTCGGACGGAAGCTGGGTTGGTTTGGCGCGTTTATCGTGGCGGTGGTGGCAATCGTTGTTGCAAGTCAGAATGAGGTAGAGACATAGAGATTCAAAAGAGAGAGGCAGAGAGAGAGACAGACAGAGAGAGGAAGAAAGACAGACAGGCAGAGAGAGAGAGAGTGTCACCCTAGGTTTCTTCCTAATCGAGCTGTATCGTTGTGGGGCGTAGTGGCAAAAAAGGGCCAACTAGCGGCGGGAAATAGGGTGTAGTATTGGTAAGTGGAGTTTGGAAAGAGAAGGCGCCACCTTACACTACAAAGGACAGAGGAAGGGATGGGGGGGGTACGGTGAGGGGAATTTGGGGAAAGAGGGCGCCGTGTGCAGAATGCTGCGAGGCACCCCTCCGCCCCCCTTCCCCTTACAACAAAAAGAGCGTACTTGTAAACGACGCCAAAATATCGGCGTGGTCTATTAAACTAAGTCTCCCTCTCCACAGAAACACGTAGTCAAAGCGTTCAGAAAGGCAACCAGCAGTGGAGCATGCGATCTCCTAACAAATCCCCGAGGATGTTCAAAACACGAAACAACTTTGGCGGCTCAGACAAGAATTCAACCGCAACTACCAACATCACAAATCACGAACAGCGACATCACCACCACCACCACCATCACCATCACCATCACCATCACCAAAAACAACAACACTGAACAACAAAGTTGAGAATAACCATGTCACGAACAGCGGTAACAGCAGCACCACCACAACAAACAGCTATACCACCACAACAATACAGCAACACCACCACAACAATACAGCAACACCACCACAACAATACAGCAGCACCACCACAACAAACAGCTATAAATTTCTTCACCAATCCTGTCATCAAGCCCACCATACGAGACACACACACGCACACACCTTGACATCGCACGCATGAACTGGTTGCGGCCGGCGTGCGCGGCCGCGGAGTGCATGCCCCTTGCCTCGAAGCCCACCAGCAGGGGGTGCGTCTCCCCCCTGTCCAGCAGCTTGGCCCTCGCGATGGCTCGCCCGGAGGGGTCGGGCCTGGTCCTTCTGTACTGCTTCATGGCATTCTGGCACACCTGCTCGTCGCGTCGCACGTGTACACACGGCGGTGGCGGAATAGGGCCGCGATACGAGCTGTTTTTGGGAGGGTGGTATTTGGCGTATGGATTTCATGACATGCTGAGACGCACGTGATGTGGCACACGCGTAGTACCAAGTGTTGTCAATCGGCAACCGGCGGTGGGGTACAAGAACGGTAGTTCGGGGTTGCGGTACATGGCAACTTTTGGGGCCGCCTCCTCTTCGCTGTCCGAAACCATACAAAAAAAAGAGCACGACACTTACAAGCACCGGCGGCGATCATCAACCCCCCTTGACGCACAGCTAAATAGGTATTCTTCTCTCTACAGACTGCACGACGGACAGCATTTCTCGTAGTGGGGGATGAGGGGTGAGAGGGTGTAGACGATGGGGGTGAATGTCCCGAAAATCTTGTTGTTGGTCCGCTAGCCCGCCGATGAGCACACAAAGAAGAAAAAAAAACAGGGACCCGTCGTCGTCGGAACATGTTTCACGGTGCCTGCCTGCTGCCCCTGCTACCGGCTTGCGTGGCACACCGGCCACCAACAAAGTACTACTTTCGACTGAGGTTATATCTCGAACGGGTAGTCTTTTCTGTGAGGTTATGTTTACTTTCCAAAAATACTACACAGCAGTCTTGAGAAGAAAAACAACACAAAAAAAAACTCGCACAGCAAGCACTCACCCGCTCCAGCCCGGAGAGGTTGGAGCCCGAGTTTCCGAGCATCTCCTTGAGGGACTCGTTCTCATCGTCCATCACCTATTTATTAGTAGATTAATATCGGCACCAGGTGTTGTTGCCGTTCGGTGAAGAGGGCAAATAAACCTCGTTTCAGAGACATTAGGTGCGTTAGAGGGAGAAAATGCCGGGGAAGCTATCTACGCGTAGGCTGCATCAACGGTCCAGAAATAGTAGGACTAAATCGGCGATACCAAGAACAGGCATCAGGCGGGGTGTCATGGTAACCTACTGGGAGATCAAAATATGAGTACAACATTCCGAGGTGGGATGCACAGCTCCCCTCCCCTACGTCAGGCAAAGAACGGAATTGGACCGTGCAACACGGGGAGAGAGACAGAGAGAGAGAATACCCCCCCCCCCCCAACATCTATCGCCATACCTGCTGGGGAAAGTTTCCGTAGTGTACCAGGTCCGGGTTAAGCTCCGACACATCGTACCCGACGATAGCCCCTCTCTCCCCTTCCTGCTCCTCCGCGTCACCCCCTCCAGCACCGACGCCGTCCACGGTGGCGCCATCCGGACCCGGCCCCTTGGGCGCGGTGTAAACGTTGGTAGGCTTACGCCCCAGGAAGAGGTGTAGGTCCAGCATGTGCGGGATCTCTTCCGGGTCCACGATGCTGTATGCCTGTGGTCGTTTGGCGGCGGCGGCAGCGGCGTGAGAACCAAAAGGAGAAGTGACGTTGTTGTTCGCTAGTGGAGCGGAAGACTTTGCAAAGCAAAACGGATCGCGCGAAGACGTTGCGTGTAAGGTTTGGGCCCGTGTATCTCATGGAGAAAAAACAGTTCTAGCGGCCGCCTTGCCGTATCTCATCTCACCGTTCCTGTCCGGCCCTGTCGCGCAGCGCGGCCGACGCGATGGACGAACAGCTTCGGGGCCGGAGGGAAGGCGTAGTTGATCACGTTGTTGAGGAGGGGGACGTCGATTCCACGGGCCGCGACATCGGTCACCACGAGAAGCTTCGTCTGCATCGCGTGGGCCAAGAAGTAGGGGGGGGGGGGGCGGACAGAGAGGAGGTTAATATTCACCTGAGCAGAATGCAAATTGTATGTCCGAAAACGGAGACCAGCGCAATTGAACAGGGGGGCCTGCGTCATTTTTGTGTGGGCACAAAAATAAATAAAAGTTCGGAACGGTGGTTAAGCCACCAGGAAGACAAAGAGAAGACGGCGACGGCGACAGCAACAACAACAACAAGGACCTCAAGTAATGTGCGGCGACCTTTCCCCTCCGCGAGCTCCCTCGAGTCTGTTAAAGGGTGATCTCCACACACACACGACGACAGCTCGAGCAGCGGGAGTCACCGCACTAGCCGTTTCCAGCACTCGCCCGAGACTAGAGGCTAGAGCTCCCACACTCTCACACAGCAGTCAAGTCGCACGTCACCTTTCCCTTTCTAAACTTGTCGAGGTGGATAGACCGGGCTTCCTGGTCCATGGCCCCGTATACGACGCTGCTTGCAGTGCCAGCCTCTTTCAACAGCTGCATCGAACAAAGAAGAAGAAAAAAATAGACACAGATTGACGACAGTTCGTACGAAACTACTGGTAGTGTGTATGAAAAGAGACACGGAAAACTGGAAACAGGTTTCACAAAAGTTTGAAAAAAGCAGTGCATTTACGAACACGCATCGGGAAAACGAAAAAAAAGGTAGACGGGGCGGGTATAAGAAGCAAGGGGCGGAAAAAGAATGCCCAATCAGGCAAGGGGTCCCACCTACACCTCTCAACGCCGTCAACAGAGACCGGCAATCACGATACAACAAAACACATTGCGCATGTAGACGCGCACACGGGGCACCGCCGACTTGAAAACGATTACTGCCATGCTGTCCCGCGGAGGCTGGTACGTTATGATTGGTCAGCTGTCTGGCGCGTGTGCCACCGAAGAAAACAAGAAAACAAAGGCCCGGCAAAAGTTGCATGCGCTTTTTGTTGCTACTGTAAGCATTGCTGTTTCTTCCGAGTTGGCATTCACAACAGCGGTGGGTACATCCCCCCGCACGTACATGGCGGCCTACCCGTCGACAAGAGTACAATGCCGATAGATTTGCCGTTCACGCCGTGTACAGTAGTTGAACAGATCGGCGCCGGGGGCGGGTGCGATTGGTTTCGTGACCCTTTCTCGGTCACAGCAAAACAGAAAGAGCCAGAAAACGTCTCTCATCACTCGCGAAGATATAAGCATCTGCACAAATGACTACTTAAAACAAAAAGCAGGACAGGGCTAAGGACCCAGACCCCCCCTCCCCCCCCCCCCCGCGCGACATACAAACGAGACGGGGGCGAAAGCACGTTGACAAACAGGCCGAACTCTCCTTTCGCCTTACCTCGTGCAGAAACTCGGCGTGGTGACGAGTGGCAACGAAGACGATGGTCATGTCACCCTCCGGTATCACCTCCCTCAGAAGGAACAGCAGCGCGGCGGGCTTATCCAGGCTTCGGCAGGTCAGGAAAGCAAGGCTTGGGGGACGCGCATGAAACAGCACCAGAGACGATGTGGTGTGGTAGGGTCGCAGCGAGTTTCGCGGTTATGTTGGCAGTTTCGTAGGGTGACGCGAGGCTGCTTTGGACAGAAGCAACGCATGGACGAGATACAAAGCTTCTGGTTTGCAAACGTCCAACCATTGAAGAACGGCCATCCAAAACGGGGCACGCATGGTCGGCCCTCACTGAGGTAGGGGGCTGCCTGCTGGGGTACCACCTGTTCCCGTCTCATCCGCTAGTATTAAAACAAGACTCTCACGGCGACACAACTCCACACGTGCCCATTTATATCACCCTCAACCTAGCGTCTCAATCACCAACCCGACCCTTGGCTTGCCGTCACACCTCACACTCAACCAACGACAACATCCACAACAAGAACAACACGCACACCAACGACAACATCCACAACAACATCATCGACAAGATGGACATCAACGACAACACCACACCTGAGCTCGGTGCTGATCTTGCTCTCCGTGTCCAGGCGGATGAGGACTGGGTCCTTCAGGCCGGCCCTCGCGAACTGCACGAGCTGCTTGGGCATCGTGGCGGAGAAGAGGAGCGACTGCCTCTCCTCGGGCACGCCGCGCATGATCTCCCGCAGCTGCTCGGCGAAGCCCATCTCGAACAGCCTGTCGGCCTCGTCGAACACCACCACCTCCACGCTGCGGAGGGTGAACTCGGGCACTTCCTGGGGAGCGAGAACGACACAGGCGAGCAGAGAGCAAGGGCGTACCCATGTTTTGCATGCCTTAGTTTGTTAGACCACGCGTCCTCGAGACCAGTGACCATGCCCCCTCGAGAGGACGGGGCATTGTTCCCACAGGAGGAAGAACCGATCGCATGGGGGGGGGGGCGGAGGGGTCAACCAGGTGGGACTTTCTGACATCGTGCTGAGGGACGCGGCAAAGATGTTGGAACATAACGACCTTGACGCCGCTCCTGCTATAAACAGAGGGTGGACTCGAACATTTGAACGAGAATCAACACGTGGGGAAATGCTCGAGTGTGGGTGAACTTCGGGACCAGGCGACCCGTGTGAGACGAGGCAGTCCGGAGAGCTCCCGCGACACAAAGAGTCGTCTGGGGATAAGCTTCACCGCTTCCATAGCTAGGGCACGACCAAGACAGGCCCCAATGGCGGATTATCTAGCGTGCCCCTCTTATGATTCCCTCTCTTCTCTCCTGTCCTTCTATCTCAATGCTGAGGAAATAAGGAAACCAAGAGAGGGCAACATCAGTCTTCTCAACAAGAGCGTATGGACTCAGCAGAACAGGGCAACGTACACGCCGCTTCCTCACCCTCTCGCCCCGGGCCCCCCGTCACCCCTAACCAATTCCAGCTGTCTGTCTGTCTGTATATCTATCTCTCTCGATACCGAGGTACCAACGCCGTCTCCTCCTGATGGCCTCTCACACACCTGCAGGTGGTGCATGAGACGGCCGGGCGTGGCGATGATGATGTCTGGGTTGTCCGCGAGGGCGGTGAACTGCTTGTCCATGCTGTCCCCGCCGACGAGAAGGGCCATCCTCAAGTCCTTCAGCTTCGACATCTTGCGCGCGAACGTCAGCGTCTTCGAAGAAGGGGGGCGGGCGAGGAAACAGGGGGGAAGGCAGGGTTGAGAAAAAAACAAACTGCAACAGGCGCGTAGGTCGGCCGAGAATAAGCTGAGGTCCGATGTACCGAACAGGAACAAAAAAAAAGCACTTGATCATGCGCCCTGGATGCGAAACTTTGATCATGCACCCTGGATGCAAAACTTGTCGCGAAAAGCCCGGAAAGAAGGAAACCCAAGCGAGGGCCACCCGTGTCTTCTCAACGAAGGGCATGTATTGGCTCACCCATTGCTACGAACAGGGTAACATACACGCCGCTTCCTCACCCTCTCGCCCCCACCCCCTTAAACCCTACCTACCAATAGCAACACCAGGTGCCGAGCGTTCTTGAACAAACACAGGCCGTCAGGTAGGAGAGCAGCAGCAGCACTCCGTTGTGTTTCCCACAACCGCATCAAGTAGGCATCTACACACCTGGACGGCAAGCTCTCGCGTTGGCGACAGAATGATGGAGCGAGCTCCCATCTTGTGGCTGTGGCTGCCGAGCTTCTCCAGCACCGGGATGAGGAACGCGGCCGTCTTTCCCGAACCGGTCCTTGCCATGACCACCACGTCGGCGCCGGCGAGGGTGACGGGGAGAGATTTCCGCTGCACCGGCGTAGGAACCTTGTAGCCCATGGCCATGATCTGAAAGAGAATTGGAGGTGGTGCCAAGGGAGGAGGGGCGTGCGCAGTCGGGGGGTGTTCACGTAGCTTACAGACGATGGGCTCACGGGGATGATGTCCACAAGCTCCTGTGACACACGTACGGGGGTGTATTTCGTAGGTGGTCCTGAAACTCCCCCCCTCCCCACCCCGCGCGCGCCACTGTACTGGTCCTACAATGAGACGGCGACAGCGGCGTACTATATATACTGCTCTACACTTTCACCGGACATCCCGTTAGGCTGGCTGGGCGAGACAGCACCTCGCCATAAGTCCTGCCGGATGGTCAGGGTGAAATGTGCAATGGCACCCACGCATTTCCTTGTAGTTGTTTCCTCACCATCAACGCAGTACGTGAGGCATTGTGCACATCAAGTTGCAGCGGCAGTCCTGTTTTCCCTGTGTTAAGGAATAATATAAACACACACAGAAAGACTACCCATTCGAGATGTTGTTGGCGCCTTGGATCGCGCATCCGCAACATGTGACTCACTGGGCCCCCACCGCTTCTGCGAAAGGCAGAAAGACTCCTGACGGTCCCATAGCCCAACTACAGTGGAATAAGAACCATCCTACATCAGCATGTACTACCGCTATGGACCCCAAGGCCTAAGGCGTGCAAACGCGCAAGCTGTCTAGCTCTACAAGTACGGCAGTGGCGGACTGTCGGGTGTGTGTGCGGCTGCCAATCGTCTGTTATCACGCCGCACTTACCCCACGAAAGAGGTCCTGGCCGAGCCCCATAGCCTGGAAGCTCCCGACCTTCGGCTTTGCTGGAGGCTTCATGGTATCCTTTCTCTTCCCGCTCTTGGGTAGAGCACGAGCAAGCGAGTGGTGAGTGGTGAGCGCTGTGGCTGGAGAGACACAGGTGGAGCGGTGAGCGGCCTGAGAGGTTGGACACCAGGGGGGTGTTACATCCTAATCGCAGGCCCCCCGGTAGTGAAGGAGAGGGAGAGGTGACACAGCACACCGCTGTGCACGACACGTTCAAACGCAGGCGTGCTACCACGCGCGCACACACCCCGCTGCCATGATTAGAACTACTATTGCGGGGGTAGATTCACTGCTGCACCGTGGTGCTGCCGCTGCCACCAGTGCAGCTAGACAGGGCGCATCGTCGAGAGGTCTCGGGGATCGTCAACAACATGCCTCAGCAGCAGTGGCGATTTGCTGGCGAGGAGGTCCAACAAGGAGACATTGGTCTAGTCAGAAGGAGGCAGAGGAAAAGGTGGGTCTGCGTTCTGCAGCGCGCTTTTGCAAGGTCGAAAGGAAGATGTTCGTGTGGCTGAGGTGGCGGTCGTCGATCGTAGTTTTTGAATGTCAGCAAGGAGAGTGTGTCACTCGAAGCTGCTGTCATATTTGTTGGTTGTGGAGCTTTCAGTGGGCAGCTCTATGGGCCTGGTCCTCGTTTGCGCAAGTGCGAGAGAGCCTTGGCGGGCACCTCTCCGTATGGTGATTGTTTGCGAGTTTTTCGTTTTTTTTTCTTTGTCAACAGCAGGCAAGAGAGAGCAGAGATACCTCCTGTCCAAGTGCGTAGGTTGTGTCGGTATGTGTGCGAAAGTTTGAACGTTTGCCCTTATTGACAGCGCAAGACATGATCTTGCTCCGTGTGCATTTGTCGTGATCTGTTGTCTTATCCGGTGACATGGGCACTCAACACTCAACGAACTGCGTGTGTCTGGTTGGCGCACAAATCGGGCGTTGTGCTCTTCGCGCACCCTGCACGAGTAGAGGTTGCATATCCAATTAGACTACTTTTGCTTCTGTTTCTTCGGGTCCAACCTGCTGTTGTTCATGTATGCACTAAATACATGCACTGAGGCCACCGGACCGTCGCCCTCTCGCGGCACTTCTGTAGTTTCTGCAGGCTGTCTAACAAGTCCTTGCGATGGCAGAAAACAAGCCGTCCTCCTCGCTTTTTCTACGAAAAGCGTCCCTGACATGAACGACCCCTCCCGTCTGCCAACAGGATAGCGCCGGCGATGCCGCAGTCGACGTCGGCGACTACTCCCCAGACGCGACTGCAACTACCGAGGAGCCCGCCCCACCCAAGCCGCAGCGTACCTTCGTGGTGCGAACGCCCGACTCCTCCTCCTCCCTCAAGGTCACCGTGCCGAGCACGACCGCCGAGGCGATGGCGATGAACCTGTCGATCAGGGAGAACGCCAGGGCGAAGAAGGAGGCGGCGGCGCGCCGGCACGCGGCCACCACAGCGGCCAGGGCGTCGTCGAAGCAACCGGCAGGTGGAGCGGCGCCGGCGCCGGCGGCCGCCCCCCACACCAGAGGCAGGCCGGCCGAACGGCGGCGGGTGCCGAGCATGATGGTGGTGACGCCCAACGCCCGGTCGAAGTCCATCCAGATGGAGGTGCCCCTCACGACGGCCGAGTGCATCAAGCTGAACAGGGCGGTGAAGGAGAGGTACCCGACGCAGCAGCAGGAAGCCGACGAAGACAGCAACAACGGCGTCAACGCCGGCTACTCGAGGAGGTGGCGCAACCCGCCCGCGCCCGGCGTCGGTGGAGGCCAGGGGCTGCACCATGCCTACGGAGCGGGCCTGTCTTCTTTCCCCGAGATCGTGAGATACGCGGACGTCGAGCAGAGCGCGCGGGAGCCTAGCTACGACAGAACGATTGGGAACCTGCACAAGGCCAGGAGATGGGACCAGATTGTGCGGGTGTGGGAGGTGAGAAGACGAAATCGCACGACGCGCTTTCGGAGCTCTTTCCGTAGAGGGGTGCGGGTGTTAACACACGCTGGCTTGCAAGTACGTTGAGCGCACGGCTTGTGCTTTGGGGCGATGAAACAGCAGCCAAGGGAGCGATGAACCAGCGTTACGCTTCCTTCCCCTTTGTACGGGAGACGGCAGCGGTGCTGTTGTAGCGTAGACCCAGGCTTCGGATAGACGCACCAACCAATATTAAAAAGGCGTACAGGTGACTATGTTGAAGACAAGCACGCGTGGAAACTTTGTTTAACACCCCCGCCCCGCGCCCTCGCGCTTCCAAGTAGAGAGAAAACGTTTTGCATGCTAGGGTAAGTGTGTCTGAGGGGCGGATACATGACGGACAAACAACCACAACTTCAACACACCCGTAGAATACGGGTGTTGTACGACGTATGCAACCGACCGCATTAATGTTGTCTGGAAAAGGCACCGTGCAACTTCTCGCAAGCGTGGCGTGGTTGACGGTCTACGCACTCCGAAAGGCGTCACAAAATGCGGACAAGCGCACGTCGCGTCTGGTTTTCACGGCTCTCGCGGCAAGCACCATCACGATCTGACCGAGTGCACCGCCATGCCATGCCGCTATTCGCAAAAATTGCTGTGGTATCTACGAGCTATTATAATAGCTGCTTGCGCAGACAGAGTTGTAGGGAGTCAGGGGAGCGGCGTTTGGTCGAAGTCTGGTGTTGCAACCAACAACGAAGCTGCGGCGGAGCCGGAGGACGCTGTGGGCGCTATGACGATATTTTGGGCGTGCCGTCCTCCCCCCCTTCCCCCCCGGGCGCCAGCAAGTTTGCTGCTCCCCCCTTGTTCCGAGAGTATTGTTCTTCTCTGTCGTTTCATCCACATAATCGTTCAACGTGAGCACTCAAAGATGATGCCGAAATCACGCTCGTAAAACAGTCCGTTGCTTGGATGCTGTTTGCTGGTTGTCGTGCTTGTTTTCCTGCCTTTTTGCCAAGAGGGTAACATAATACACAACCCACACCCGGAAACTCATGTGCCATGTTCGTCTGCCGTTTTTTTCTTTGTGCGCTGACAGGAGATCGAGGAGAGGGAGAAGAGAGGGGTGACGGTGGGTCTTGGATGGACCACGTACGAGTGCTTGATGGACGCCTTCATTTCACACGTGAGCTCAGCTAGATGTAGCTGCTGTTGGTTGAAATGCTGTGCACACATTTCCTACACAGGGGCGGCGTAGAGGGGGCGGCAGGGGGGTTCTTTGCTTTCCAACAACAAAAGCAAAAACCTAGATGCAATAATGTTGGTCCTGTGTGTTTAAAAGGCGTTTTGACGGCGTGCCTGAAGTTGTTCAGAATTGCGAACGCCCGTCTCGATTGGCATAGGTAGCACCGTTCATGGCACCGTTCCTGGCACGGTGCCTATCCCAAGAGACGGGTGCTTTGTATGCTATCTCGTGATTGGCAAGGTGTTTCGGGGGCAACTGTGTGCATGGTTGCTGCAATGCCGCATGGCCGTACCGTCCTTGACAATAATAGCGCTATCCTACCGCTTTTTCCGGCGAAACTTGCTTTGTCCGTTCTTGACGGCTCCGTAGGCCGTTAGCCACGAGCTAGATATTGTCCCGACACGGAAAAACATTCGAGTCTTGCTGGCGTTTGTTACGGGCGAGTCCATGCACGCTATATGTTCTGCTCTCTGGTGCTGCCTCACCCTGCCGTCGCGCTGCGTACTGCTGTGTCTTTCGTGTTCGCTACTATCTATTGCTGCTGAGTCTAGTTTCTCCTTCCTCTGCCTCCCCTTCCCTTGTCAACACATGCGTCTCTCTCTCTGCCTCTCTCCCGCCCCCCGACTCTTCGGGGCGTTCGCGGACAAGAACAGACGGACCTGGGGGTAGTGGCCAGGTGCGGGCGCGTGTTCGATCACTTGGTTGCCAGCGGACAGGGCATACGGCCAGCGATATACAACTTGTACATGAAGGTGATGTACAAAAGTTCGAGAGGAGCAAGGCAGTATTTCGGCGAAAACAGCTGCCACAGAATACGCTGCTTGCAAGACTAGGATGGGCCCGGGGTAAATTTCGGGCTTTTTTGTAAAAAATTGCCGCCGGGGGGGGTTTTTCCAAGTTTTGGGAAGGGTAATCCCGGGGGTTGCCTTGGGATACTTTTTTGGTTTTCCAACGGGGGGGGGTCCCCCCCCGCGGCTTTTTTTGTGGGAATTTCCCCCTTTTCCCTTTTTTTTATATCCTTGGGGGCATTTCCCCTTTTCCCCCCCCCCCCCCCCCCATCTCTCTCTCTCGCTCTCGCTCTCCCCCCCTTTCTCGTTCCTCTCCGTCTCCCTATGCTTCCCTCCGGGTCCACCGCTTCCTCAATCTTACTCGTGTGTTGGTTGCCTAATTTTTGTTGCTTTGCTCTCTGAAAAACCTCGGTTCGATTGACAGGGGTGCAGCGTGGCCAGGCTCGGGACCCGTGCGGTGGCGTTGATCGAGGGCCTTGATCGTTTGCCGGGGAAGGTGAGTCACGGGCTGACTGACTGACTGGTGTGCTTGGGCATGTCTCGTGTCCTCGGGGCTTGCTGGACCTGCGCGACCGTAACCCCCATCATTGTGGCGTGCCTTTTGGAGACACACAGACACAAACAACGACAGAGACAGAGACAGATACAAAAAGAGAGAGAGAGAGAGACAGACAGACAGACAGACAGACAGACAGACAGACAGAGACAGAGACAGAGAGAGAGAGAGAGAGAGAGAGAAATACAGACAGAGAGGCGGAGACAGAGACAAGAGGAGAAAGATGAACCAGGGTCTGGGTAGTTTGGAGCGAGAAGAACAACTCTTGGATTTTGTGCGCGTTCGTTTGTCTGTCCTTGGTTGATTCTTGATCGTCCCACTTGATATACGTTGCATTTCTTTTTCTAGGCTCGCTTGTTTCTCCTCCGCCTTTCTCCCCGCGCCTTCCTGTTGATGTTGCGCTCGATTTGCTCTCCTCTGTAATTGTCTCTTATTTTCTTGCCTCAGCTGCGGTTCTCGCATCCCTCTCTGCCCCTCTCTGTTCTGTTCGCCTAACATCTTGGCTCTTCTCACTCTCAGTTTTGACGTCATGTAGGGTTTTTCCTCAGTGATCCATATATAGATGTGTTTTCATGGGTTTCCGTCCCTCCTACAATATTGTACTCCTGCCATGTTTTTCGCATAGCTTCTCAACCTGAGGGGTGAGGTAAGCAAAAGGGCCCGAAAAAAATACAAGTGCCCCGATAAGACGCTAAATAGTGTAAGCAGTGTAAACGATGACGTCTTACAGTACTATTTTTTTTATTCTGCTCCTCCCCTTGTTGACGCATGATTTGACTGCTGTGCTACCGTTCACGATCGCGGCCGCCCCGAGCAGAGGTTCAAGCCGAACCCGCAGTTTTTCTTCAATCTCCTGTCCGCGACTTGCGCGGAAGGCATGGTGGGGGAGAGCAAGCTGTACTACGGGATCATGAGGGACATGGGCTTCGAACCGACCAACAATACCTTGCAAAATATGCTGGACATGTACATTCGGGTGAGTCTTGGTAGGATAGGTGGTGGGAGGGAGGAGTGGTGCATATGTTTCGCCTCTGTCTTGAAGTGCGGATGGGAACAGGGGGAGGAGGGAGGGGGGGGGTACAGTCCACGGGGTGCCACCTTTTTATGCCTCCTGCTACAGTGTAGCTTTTTTCATGCCTTCCAAGCCGACTTGCGAATTCGCGTTTGCACTTGTGTGACAGCAGTCATTTTAATAGCTAGCATCGACCGTGCTCACCGACTGACAATGCTTGTTGCGCGGGGGGAGGGGGGGGGGCGTACCCATTTGTTGCTTGCCGTAGTCATTTGACCATTGACCACGCGTCCCTTTCGAGACGGAGCACCGTTCCTACACCTACTAGAGACACCACCAACATTTGGGAGCTCTTTACGTTTCTGCCACAAACTCCATAAAAATTTCTTGCACATCTTATCCCCGTCCTCTAGGGCCTCTTGTGCCCACCATCTATCCCCAATTATCGCGATCGTTTTTTCGCTGTTGTCTAATTTACCAAACTTGTCCATGTCACACCCTCTCTGTCTCATTTCCTCCTCGAGATCCTCTCTTTCCTTCCTGTACAACTCACACTCCCCAACTATGTGGGGTCTACTCTCCTCCGATTTGCCACATGGACATGTGTGTCTATCCTC